GAGGGGAGGGGGGGGGGAGGGGAGGGAGAGGGGAAGGAGAGGGGAAGGAGAGGGGAAGGAGAGGGGAAGGAGAGGGGAGGAGGTTAAAAAAAAAGGTTTCAAACTTGTAGGAATGAATAATTCCTGAGAACAAACCCCATGGGTTTTTTCTGGTGATCAGATTTAATATGACAGTAATCAGCTTCTGCTTATTCATTGCCCTTGAAGCTAATATCTCAAGGCCTTTTGCAACTCAAGCAACATTCACAGCCTATGCAAATATACAGACACAGCTAAATTATACCTTTTAATACCAACATTAAAAATATATGAAATGCAACATAAAAATAGTCTTCCAAAGAACAATTTTGCAGACTATGTTTCAGCGAGCCTTTATCATCACAGTGCCTGGTTTCTGGATTGTACCTGCACGCGTAAGCTCTCATTACCATGCACGGTTAGTGAATTCTCAAACACCACTGAGGGATGTATAAAACAGGAGGATATTTTGCTCCACTGGTCAAAATCCTGTGATGTTTCCCCCTGAGGCCAAGTCAAATCCATTTCCAAAGTCCAGCCCCAAACTCCATAGGCACCAGCACGTAGTGCTGCACATCTGCAGGCATTTTAATTCTTCCTTCTCTGAAGCAGAGGACACAGGATCTATACTTCCTTGCGCTCCACTGTTTCCTATTGGTTTCAGGAGCTCTCAGGATATGCTCCTAGTAACTGTAGCAGATATACTAAACTGCTACTACTGTAGCAGTTATCCCATACTGGCCACTTTACTAATTACACAAGCATGTATTCCCAATACAGGTAGTGAAGTGGAAGAATAGTCAATTAAAAGACTAAAGCAATTATGTGTGCAATTTTGTGGGAAATCCGGGGAAAAAAGCACTGGAAGGGCAAAACCACTCTTTGAGTTCACATTTGTTGTGTAGAGAACCAACAGTCAGTTATACAAAGGGAAGGTTAAAACACATGATTTTGGCCATCATGTCCAACAGAGTTCCTAGAGCAGTCTCAACCAGAGCATCATGGGGAGCCGGTGAGCCAGGGACAGCAGAGCCACCAGGCAAAACCAGCACCACAATGCTTACATAGCTCTTGGGTATATGAGTATATATGAGTTCATTCCCTAGTTTATCCTAACCAACAAACACTGACGTTCTAGGATGAGGTAGAATTAAAAAAAAAACCAACAAATGCTCTTGCTCATAGAGCAGGAAGTTATTTGGACTTGCAAAATCACTCAAAAGGTAAGAGGCAGCAGTGATGCCACCAGCA